TGTAAAATAACTATTCTTTTTTTTTTAGTGTTAAGTTTCTCCCAACTTTATAATTTATATAATTGACAAATAGAAATTTTATATATTTATAGCATACAAGATAGTGTTTTGATGCACACATACATTGTGAAATGATTAAATCTAATTGTTATATCTATCACCTTACATATTATACCATTGGGAGGGATGAGAACACTTAAGATCTAATCTTTCAGTGATTTTCAAGTATACAGCACATTACTGTTATCTATAATCATCAGGCTGTATGATAAATTCCAAAGATTTTTTTTTTTACATGTGAATAGTCTCTGTGCTGAAGTGTCTGAAAATCATGCCAAAGAACACTGGGAACCAGTCTTCTGGAACCAGGAGAAGGTATTACTCGGGTCTCATAACAGCTCTTAGTGATGACCCAGCTCAAAAGGTAGCTTTTGAATTGGATCTTGAAAACCATATAGGCTTTCCTAGCTATCCCTGCAGAGGAAACTACATGAGCAAGGCATGGAGGATGGAAAATAATGAGACTTATTTTAGGCATTGCAGGTACTGTAGACTCCTTGCTTTTTGAATTTATGACTTACAGGATTTGGACTGTTTATGACCTTTGAAAAGATCATGTAGCAATTTTTCTGAGTTACTGATTTCATTCCTTTGTTCAAAGCCTAGTGTTTCAAGTCCATGAATGAGGCTAGCAATTTTATGTCTTAGTCCATCTTTACTCTTCTCTATTCACTTTCATTGTGTTTTTCATTTTACTATATATTATATAAGAGGGCATTTTATGCTTAATAATTGATGACTTGTGAAGAGCTTGGTGCAATTCCTCTTAGGGATAAGGGTCTACTAAATAGAGTGACCACATAATTTATAGCCTGAACTAAGACTCCCTCAAGGGTGAAAGGGGTGGTAGTGCTATGAATAAAATCCCAAGGCAATAGTCATAAACTGGGGTTTCTCAGGTAAGCTAGAGTATGACCAACTTAAAAAAAATTTTTTCTTTGAGACAGAGTTTCACTACGTAGCCTAGGCTGGCCTCAAACTTTTGATCTTCCTTTCTCCTCCCAAGGTACATACACGTACCACCACGTCCAGCTACAATGTGTGTTCACTCTAAGTATAGTTCATTTTAGTTGAAGCATGGGATATGGATGAAAAGCAGTAGGATGTGACTCAGGAAAGCAGGTACAGGCTAGTTTGTGAATGGCCTTAAATGTTAGGTGGAGGAGTTAGACTTTTATATTATAGACAGGAAACCCTTGGAGGTTTTTTGGCAGAGGAACTTACGATATACATAAGGCAGCATTCAGAAAGATTATTTGAGTGTCTGGGCGGGTTGAATTGAAGGGAGACATTCAATTTTGAGTGTATCATAGTAATTCCCATTAAGAATATATTCAGATGATAACTATTGGTTTTACTATACTAGGAAAATAACTTATTTTAAGAATTATATACAGAACTTTAATGATTCATTTCTAATATTTCTATTGATGTTAACTAATAATTCTGAAGAAGATTGTGTTAGATTAGTGCCTTGTTGAATTATTTTGAAAGAGGAGTAGCACTGTGGCTTAGCTGTGAGTACCAGAGTATTTAGTGTAACAATTAAAATTTGAACTAACATTAAAAGAATGGTTAATAAAAAAAACCCAAATTTTATTTCTAAAATAATTCACTTTATCATGTAATCAACATTTCATTGTCTCTATCTGTTTCAACTCAATGCCAATATAAAGAGAACTTTAATTTCTCAGTAACTTATTCCTTAGATCACTTTTTCTTTTTTTCTGTCACCTTCTATGTAGCAGATCGAGATGTTGAGAAAGAAGTCATTTCTTTTTTTTTTTAACTAGGAAAATCCAAACTTCATGGAAGAGGGAAGTCCTTGATGGACTGGTCATGCAGAGGGCACACTCTTCTCCAGAGTGTCCTCTTCTACACTAGAGTGGGGTGGACCTTGTATGCAAGAAAGGGAAACAAAAATGTGGAACATGTTTGGGAAGCTACAGGCTGCTAGGTGGCTGCAAAGTGCTATTAAAATGCAGTTACTACATTGGCACCACTAGCCAGTTAGGTGGCCTTGGAGGATACAGGGAAGTTTAAAAAAAGAAAAGCGTTGTGATTCCCACAGGTACCTACCTCAATTTTTAAAAGCCTACCTCAATTTGTAAGGGAAGGAAATATTCCTTACTTGCTGAAGAAGCTTCTACTATTTAAAGCTGGTCAATCACTTTTTAAAAAGTGAGTTTTTGTGCAATATTACCCTTCACTGATGTGCCTTTTATATAAGTTCACATCACTAAACATCTTAGACTAAAATCTTTCATAGTTGGTACAATAAATGTGTGTGGAAGGAATTACTAAATAAATTATGGAAGATGATTTGAGATATCACCCTCCACTGGTATATTAACAAGAAAATGAATTAGTGAACTGAAGAGAATGAACAAGTTATACTTAGGTCTACATATTTATATATGTTGTATATAATATTGATAATGATATTTCGTCATTAGAGGCTATATTCTCCATGACTACTAAGATCTACTAAAAATTTACATGAGTTATTTTTTAAAAAATTTTTAATTTCCTTCAAATGTAATTTTTAAAAAAATTGTTGACCCCTATCTTCCCTTCTTTGTCTGGGGCTACTTGTCTTTATTTTATTTAATCTCTGTAGCATTTGACACACAAAGATGTTTTCCCAGGAGAATTTTGTTTCTGCTAGGGCTAATGTGAAAAGAAACAATTTGTGTCACACTGGTAATGGAGCTTGCCAAACTGTTCAAATAACCTGCATTTCCTTTCATACTGCATATTAATAGAAAGGTTAATGGTAATAGGAAAATGCCTCCTTTTCTTGCTTTGGGCCCTCCTAATAAACACAGGCTGTTATTTCAATGCCAGTCTTCATAGTTGCATATTTACTAGTGCAGTGTTTTAAAGTCATAGTTACCTATTTAATACAGCCAAATTGATCATTGCCTCATTTAACTACTGCCTAGCATGTTTTTGATGTGTACACATTTCAAAGTAAAACACAATTAAATTGAGAATGTAAACACATATTCTCCTTAAGCATATATTTTAATAGGTGATTGACTAGCTCTTCAAAAATAGGTTATTTTGAATTATGCAGCCAAAGACCATTATCCTATCTGTAGTCTAGCACTTCATCATACTTCCTCCCCTCTATCCCACTACTAGTTTGAGAGCTTCTTGAGGCAGAACATACCATTAAGGGATGCCTTATACACCTGTGCCCTCAGTACCTAGAGGACACTCTAAACACTGTTGAGTTAGTCATAACTTTAATAATAACAGCTTTATTACTGTATGGTAATATTTTTGTTAAGTTTTTCTCCAGTGCACAACTCGAAAATCTTGTTCTGCCAACATAACTGAGTTCCACAGTTATCTAGAGTTGCTTATAAACTAATGAAAGAAAGATCTGTTAGTGAGATATTGATATTATATAGGAAAAATAATTTCTTTTCTCGCCTGTCTCTAGAATCATGACTGAGAGCCCTATAATAAAAGACAAATTAAGAAAGAGAAAAGTATACAAATTTATTTAATACAAGTTTTATATGACATGGAATCCTTTAGAAATTATGACCTAAAGAAGTATGGCAAACTGTATTTTTCTGCTTGGTTTGGTGAAGAGAGAAAGGCATTGAAAATAATGATATTATTTATGTAAATCAAGTTATTTAAAGATTTGCAATCACTTACCTTATTTTTAAGAGAATATTGTTTCTCAGTCACTAGAAGACACAGTAGTCAGTTATTGTCTAAATCATTATGATAACTTGAAAATAAGAATAGTGTTATCCTTCAGCTTTTTCTAGGAAAAGAATAAACCTATAGAAATATTTTTTAAAATTATCTGGGCTGGGCACCAGTGGCTCACAGCTGTAATCCTAGCTACTCAGGAGGCAAAGATCAGGAGGATCATGGTTTGAAGCCAGCCAAGGCAAATAGTTTGTGAGACCTTATCTCAAAAATACCCAACACCAAAAATGCTGGTTAAGTGGCTCAAGGTGAAGGCCCTGAATTCAAGCCCTAGGATTGGAAAAAAAATTATCTGGGATTATTTATATGTTAGCATCAGTATGTCTCTATGTGTAATTTAGGTTGAATTATTGGTGAATTATAAAATTTGAGTTGTCACTGTTGTGAGAACTAAAGTATGCTTGACATACTGGTCAAAGAAACACTTTTTAGTACTGTATCAGAGTCTGACATTAGTTGTCATTTAATAAAAAGCAATGATTAAGTGAATTAATTTCCATACACAGACTGTTTTGAACAAAAACCGTTGTTTAATACACGAAGTGGTGTATTAAAGGTGGAACCTAAGAATAAACATTACTTCAAAAAATAAGTAAAAATTTGCTAGTTTAGTTAAAACTTTTATCTTTACTATGTTTTGCAACTTTTATCTTTTCTATGTTTTGCAGATGGCAGGCTAGATTTTCTGTGATTAAACATGAATTTGAACTTTGCATTTCAGACACATAAAAGTGAAAGCAAAAAAAAGTATTCTTCTTTTTTTTTAACTTAACACATTGCTGTCACCAGTTAATGAAAATGAGACAATAAAGGCTTTTGGTTTATAATTGACAAAAATCTTTCTTCATTCTTCTTCATTATTTTATTCTGACTTAGAAACATGGTGGAATAGAATCAGCAAACTTAGCTTTGATTTTATATAAATACCTTCAAAATGAGTGAGTAAATTCTCGGTTTTCTTCATTGTTAAAAAGTTTTTTGTGTGTGCTTGGAAGTAAAAGAGTTCTTATTTCTATTCTGGAGAAGTTAATATTTCTCCTATTTTATTGACCTAGTGAAGGTTAGAATAGTTAATAAAGATTAAGTTTGGTTGATGACTTTTTTTAACTAACATATGGAACCAGCTTTATTCATTAATTGTTTTTACCCTGTGCTTTGCCTTTTGTGGCAACATTTATTAATTTCACATTTTTTTTAATTTTCAGGTAACTTGGGTTTTTACTCCTGTAACAACTGAAATAACAAGTCTTGATACAGAGAATATAGATGAAATTTTAAGTAAGTACCTTAATGTTTTTAAACTGTATTCTCATCTCTGTAAAGAGTTTATATATAAAAACACAAGAAAATCTCAGTTATCTATAACCTCCGAAGAGCTGGCATTCTGGTTAAGTTCACGGCTTATAGAATTTTATAAAGTACTTGAGTTTCTGATCTTTAGTAAAATTTCTTAAAAATGTATAAGTCTTCTTTCCTGTGTTAAAAGCAGTGCTTTTATTTTTTTTATTTGTTTGCCTCATATAGATACTATTCTTAACAGTGTGTATAGTGTTTTGCTAAGGCCTGCTTAGAATCCTACAGTTCCCACTGTGCATCACTAAATACTAACAGTCTTTGGACACAGCCTAGATTTGTTTTTCTTCTTTTACTTTAATTTACTTGTTCTGATCTCTTTTAATGACATTGATCCAGTCAAATTCAGTAAGTGTTTTGGTGAATGCATTGTTTTCTGACAATGAGATTGTAAAATAAAATTACCTGGGGGAAATCATTCTGATTTTTTAAAAATAGTAAAGGGAAGGTGATATGGTTGATAGAAAATCTCAGTTTAGGAGATTTAAGAAAATGTGCAATGTGCCTAAATGATTCTTCTTTAAAAAAAAAAAGTACTATTATTATACTATTTGCACATAACAAAACCAAAAGTATTAGAATAAAAGGAGTTAAATTATTCATTGAGCACCATACTTTGTTTTGTTTTGTGTTTCTGGGATTTTAAATGCTAAAAAGTCTATTCTCATCTTATGGGATCTCTTTAGAGCAGAATCTCTAAACTAGCATGTATTGGAATCACATGGAGAGCTTATTAATATCTGTACTGCTAGGATGGAACCCCGATTTCTGAAAAACTGCTAGCACCCACGTATGTTGAATTTCTGGAAGTTTCTAGGTAATGTTGGTACTTCTGATTTGGGAACCACAACTTGTGATTCCCAGGTTTAGATTGAATAGGCAAGTGGATAAAATGCTTTCAAGTAAAAAGGGAAGGACTTGAAATGCATATCATTCTCACTCCTTTCATCTTCTAGTTTCTAGAATATCTTTGTGTATTACTTTCCTGACTGTTTGAGGAGTTTAAGTTTCACAGAATTAGTTTAGGCAAAAGAAATAGTGCTGTATCTTTCTCATGTCTTCATATCCTGAAATGCAAATGATAGTAAGCTATTTTTGCAGAGAGTAACTATTCAGGAAAAGCGTATCTTGTGCAACACTATTGGTTGTAGATTACTCATTGCTACTAGATGGGCCATCTGAGAATTAGAAATAGCTTAGTTTTATAGATCTCTTCTGTGACAGGCAAAACTAGCTCTCAGTTATTCATGAATATGGATTATTAAAATCCAGATCATCATTTCACCTTATGAGACTAAGCTCTTTAGTAGCTTACTTGCCTGATCCAAATTTGATTTCCTTTTTTTGGTGGCGGGGGAGGGGTGATACTAGGATTTGAACTAAGGGCTTCTTGCTTGCAAGGCAAGTGTTTTATCACTTGAGCTCTGCTCTGGTTATTTTTGAGATAGGGTCTCACTTTTTTCCCCTGGCTGGCCTCAAACTCCTATCTTCCTGATCTCAGTCTCCCAAGTAGGTAGGATTATAGACAAGTGCCACTGGTGTCAAGCTAATTTCCTTTTTGCTTTCATTTAATATGCAATGAAAGTATGAGGATAGAGGATATAGCAAAAAGGGACAGACAATATCTAAACCAAGCATGACTATGTTTGGGTTTCTGGGTAAGAGATAATTGTTGGCCCTTTATAAATGGGAAAAGATCATGATGAAACCATATCTTTAAGTAGGTCAAAATTATGCAGACACAAATAACTTTGGTTTTGTTTTCTAATTCCAGACAATGCTGATGTTGCTTTAGTAAATTTTTATGCTGACTGGTAAGTAATCTTGTTTTTAATTTATTTTATTTTTGCCCTCCTGATTGTGGGAAGCTGTTTAGTAGCTTACTTGCCTGATCCAAATTTGATTTCCTTTTTTTGGTGGCCGGGAGAGGTGGTACTAGGATTTGAACTAAGGGCTTCTTGCTTGCAAGTTTAGAAACTTGCTGGCAAGTTTAGAAAGAAAAATACTATTGATAATTTTCAACTGACACAATCTGCCACTACTTCTAGGAAGCCTTTATTCCTTCTGCATCATAACATGCCTTCTGTGTTTATATGGTACCCAACGGACTACTTTCTTCTTATCATTCCAGGTGGAATATCACTTATCTGAAATGCTTGGACCAGAAGTATTTCAGATTTTGGATTTTTATTTTAATATGTGCAAAGACTTTACCAGTTGAGTGTCTCTAATCTGAAAATCTAAAGTCTAATGTCTTACTAATATTTTCAGAATAATGTCTTACTAATATTTTCAGAATATAAAACTAAGATATTTGTTACAGATATTAAAGAGATAGAGCAGAGATTTAACTGTAGAGAATTTAAAACACTGGCATAGTTTTTATTTCTAAACAATTTGTGTTCTATTTGCCCCTAAAGGCTTACTGCGTCCAAGCTGCTACCTTCTTCAGGGTAGCTGCAGGCCTGTAGTTTACTTAGATTCCTGCCACAGTCTCCTAACTTATTTTTTATACCTCTAGACTATGCATTTTCATTTTATTCTCTACAATATAAGCCAGAATTCTTTACTACAGTGCAAATTAGATTAGTTTATACCCCATCTTAAACCTTTCAAATGGTTTTCCGTTATCTTTGGGTTAAAGTGTAAGTCCTTTACTTTGACCTAAGGTCTCATGATTTGGTTTCATTCTATCTCTAAAGCTGCATTTCTTGCCTCTTTCTACCCGTACATTCTTCTTGTTATACAGAATTTCTTTCAGTTTCTATAGAGTACAGAAATTCTACACTCTTTCATCACTGGACTCATGATATTAAAACTGGTTGGATGGATCACTTCTTGTTCTCACCCACTTTACTTAATTAAAGTCCTAATCATTCTTCAAGTCTTCTATTAAATGCTTTTTCTTCAGGTCATCTTCCTATTTCAATACACTTTACCCCTACTCTCAAGTCAGATTAGAAACCCTTGTTACACAGACAGTCCCCAATGTACCATGATTCAGCTTATGATTTTTTGACTATACTGTTGTACAAAAGTGATACACATTCAATAGAAATTGTACTTTAAATTTTGATCTTTTCCTCAACCAGTGATATGTAGCACTTTTTCTCTTTGGTAGGCAGTGGTGATAGCTCCAGCTCTTAGTCGGCCATGTGATTATAAGAATAGTGAAGCATGTAGCATATTTCTGAGCTATGATGTTTGGTAGATTAGGCATAATAAATGCATTTTCAACTTCAGGTATTTTCAATTTATGATAGGCTTATTGGGATTTAACCCCATTGTAAGTTGGGGAATATCTGTATTTTCCATAACATTCCAGCCTTACCCAGTCATAGCCCTTGAGTGCTATAATCTAGTAGGAAATTCATACTATATTCTTTGCATTGTGAAAATACTTACCATAGCTGTATTTTTTCAATGTTAATCCTCAAATACAGGGCTGATAACTGTATAATAAATATCTACTAAATGAATGTATATATTTATGATATGGTTGTTAAAGAGTAGTAAAAAGTTGGAGATACAGAGACAATACCATTTATGAAAATATGTAATAAGTGTAGCATTTTACAAGGTAAATTAGAATTAATACTAGGCACAAAAACTGGTAAAAGATTATCTAGTTCAATTCACTTTACAAATAAGAAACCCAAGGTACGAAGGAGTAAAGTGCTTTTCCAAGACTGTGGCAGAGGGTACACTAGAATGCAGTTCTTTTGGCTGAGGAATTTTGTTGTTGTTGTTGTTGTTATAAGAAAGAAAACACAAGCTGCTGACCTTTTTGCAAATTCGGAATTAGAAATGTGAACTTATTTCCGTTGTTTGGGAAAACAGACTGCCAAAAAGAATACCTTGAACTGTTTAAGAATTAGCACTCTTACTCAACTGAGAAAACTTGGGTAATTGACTGTAGGATATAGACTTACTCTGTGGTCTGAAGAGCTGGACTCTTGCGTTTTCTCTCAAAAGTATATCTACTGCTGTGCCTCAGGGAGTAACCACAGTAGGTGCTTAATAATACTGTTTTGTGCTAGACTCTGCATATACTATTTTTCATGCTCAGGATTGCCTTATAGGTAGGTATTATAATTTCCATTTTAAAATTGAGACTCAGAATGCTCATAGTCTAGAAGTGGTGGAAGTGGGATTTAAATTCAGGTATGTCTAAAGCTAAATCTTGTTTTTCTCCAACAAGGTCATATTAGTAAGCGCCCCTGAAGTGTCTTTGCAATTAAGGAGTAATTAAAGCACTAGATAGGAGATTAGGTTCAGGTGACCATAAGGTTCTTTTAAAGGCTCCAGTGTGTTTTGTATTATTAGAGTTTCTTTATCTTTTTGATGATGATGAAATTTGAACTCAGTGTCATATGCTCTATTACTGGAGCCAGACCCCTAGCCCTTTTTGCTTGAGTTTATTTTTCAGATAGAGTTTCACAGTTTTACCCCTGTCTGACCTTGGACCACGATCCTCCTATCTCTGCTTTCCAAGTAGCTGGGATTAAAATGTGCACCACCATTCCCAACTTGTTTTTTCAGATAGGGTTTCTCTGCTCACTTTTTTTGCCCAGACTAGCCTCCAACCTCAATCCTTCTATTTCTGTTTCACAAATAGCTGGAATTGCAGGCCTGTGCCACCATAGCTAGCCCTTGTGGTGTTATTATAAATAAAATGTTTACATGTGTCAAAAGGCACAATAATACTGGAACTGAACTTTTATTTCACCTTCCCCTTTAACCTTCTATTATTAAAACTGATGCTATTTTAAACATGAACCTATGCCTGATAAATATTTACTGGGCAGCAAACTGGACAATCCAGAGAGAATCCCTTCATGTGAGTTTTCAGTTTGCCCTTAAGCCAGAATCCTGTCCACTAAATCTTTACTAGACCATATCCAGAATTTTTAAGAAGCCATAAAACAATCTCTGTTCCTGCCTTCCACCTACCCTATTTTCAGCAGATTCCAAGTAGCTATACACCTGGGATTCTAGCCTATCTAGTTCTTCCATTCTATCAAGTTTTTCATTTAATAGACATCTATTGAATGCTTATTAAAATACATAGTCAAATAAGACATGGTCCATGATGTCCACAGACCCTATCCATCTATCCCAGATGGGAGAGATTTAAGAATGCTAAAAGAGGAAAGAATCACTTGAAAGCAAGAGATTGAAGATACAGATTGTGTCTCCTTGATATATTCTAGGACATCTCCTTAGGAAGTCAGGTGAGTAGGCTAGAAGAGGTATATATAAGAAGAAATAGGGAGGAGGTAGAACATTTGCATCCTTTCACAGGCTTTACAATATTTTTATTGGATTATAGCTGATATATACAACCTAATCATGCATGGAGTAAAGAGTTCAGGCTTCATTCAAGTCAATTTCTTGCTGCATAAGGGCTTTGGAAACAATAGTAGCAGTGACTTTGTTTGTTTGTTTGTTTGTTAACATACCCTTAATACCTTTTCCATGTGAAAATGTTCATTTTAACCTGGCTGGTGTATGTGTATGCTGATTCTTCTCTTTCTTCTCAGATCCCTTTCATGTCATATATTTGTTAAATGGTTGGCTTGATTAAAGGACAGTCAGAATTAGGAGTAACAGTGTCTGGAATATTGTGGGATTTGTGCTCCATTTTTAAAGTTAGTACGGAAGAAAATGTGGACAGAAAGTCTTGTTTAGGAATTTATTGCTTCTGGACTTAGTACGTTTACAGATAGTATGCTTATAGTTACAACAAGTGGGGACATTTTGAAGGGAAACGGATCATTATATATTACATAACATTTTAATACAACTTATTTACTTAGTATGCTAACTCGTCTCTGAGATTTGATAGAATAGCCAGGTGGATTGGTCTAATATTTGCAATAAACTTTAAAGCATTTGCACAGTAGTCTAAAAATAGTTCATTATTTAGAAAAGACTAATCTATTCTTTTAAAATATTCATGCCTCAGTAGTTACTAGCATATCTTAAAGAATATTACAGACTTGTTTTGTGGCCTCTGCAAGAGATTCTTAGCTATGTACTCTGTAACACTGACAATTATTATAAGGTAAACAACAACTACAATAAACCTCTTTAATAAAACAGTTTTTAAATTGTAGTATAGTCTTTGAATTAAAAATTGCCTTCCTCTATTGAATGACATCAGGACTCATGATTAAATGTGATTTTCTTATAAAGTTGTTTATTATAAATATATTAAATATCAATAGGTGAAAACTGAAATAAAATTTTATTACTTCTGGTTTTCTCTTCTAATTGGTATGCTTGTCTGCGTATAGGTGTCGTTTCAGCCAGATGTTGCATCCAATTTTTGAGGAAGCTTCTGATGTCATTAAGGAAGAATATCCAGATAAAAATCAAGTAGTGTTTGCCAGAGTTGATTGTGATCAGCACTGTAAGTAATCAGTAGGAAGTCTGGAAGAAATTGCCCCATTCTATTTTTTCTTTTTTGTAAATGCCCTGCTTTGGGTGGATAACAAAACCAAAATGGCCTAGAATATGGGCTAAATTACTAACATTTCATCTTTATTACTTACAACAACTTTCCCTTTGCCTGTGTACTTTTTATTGAAATATAGTAGGTCGAACATACAGATAGTATATTATAACTAGTAATATTTTCTATCAAAGCAAATGCCAAAATCAATAAAATAGAAATACAGTTTTAGAAGAAAAATAATGGATTTTTGTTACTGTTAGAATCATACAAAAATGTCATTTCAAGGCTGTAAGGTTTTTGTCTTTCTGTTTTTTTAAAGGTATTACAAAGATTGGCTTAGACTATCTTTGAGGTGGAGTTAACTGTAATTATTGATTATACAAAATGTTAAGAAATGTAGGTTATTTATTCTCTCTTAAAATCCAGTTTCTTGTATTTTGCTTGTCTCAGTGTAATATCCTCTGTCAAATCCTTATGGTTTTTTGCATAAATGACAGATATCCCTAACTTGAGCTAATAAGCTAGCAGTAGTGTTTCCTCCTCAGTGGTCCTGTTACCCTTCAACTTTCCCTATTGATAATGCCAAATTTATTATATTTGGTAGTTCTGGTTTTGGAGGGTGTGGTCTTAGTTGTCCCATCAGTTGCACTGTCAGTTCTGTAAGGCAGGAATTTTTTTCTTTTCTTAATTTTTCCTTTTTTTTTTTTTTCCTCTCGAGTACTGAGGTTTGAACTCAGGGCTTCGCTACAAGTTTCCTGTGCTTTACACTTAACATACTGAGTATTATTGTCATGTGTGTGAACACTGTTGACTTTTCCTTTAACTGATAGGGAAATGAAATAAGTGCTTAACCAATGATACACAGCTTATGGTGTTTGTAAAGCTGGAATTAGCATCCTGATCTGCTGAGCAAATGCTGTCACAGACCAATTTGCATTTTTTCTGTTTAATTCAACAAGTATTTTGAGGATTTACTAGTATAGTCTGTACTAGGCAGAAAACCATTTTCTAATAGCAAATCATTTCAAAGTCTTTATAAGCCATATATCATATTTTTGTCTGCTAAGATTCATAACTAGATTGAATGAAGGGCATGATAAATGTTGTCAGCACAAGCAGAGACTATGTTTCAACAGTGCTTTCTGGCTTTTTCCCCCTGCCTTTCGCTGACAGAGAACATGATGTGTTTTTTTTGTGGGCTGTCCTTCAAATCTTTCTATTTTTTATGTACTAATCAGACATTATAGTACAAGCAACCATCTCTGCTTTCACTGAATTTGAACCATAATGTTTAAAATCATATTCTCCAGTTTGTAGTCATTGGGAAGAATATTTGATATTGATATTATTGAACCATATACATCATTTATGCTATCTTTTAAACAGATTAACCTACTTTTGAAATCGATCTGACATCATTACTAGTAAGTTTCTTTTTATTGAAGAAAATAGCCATAGTTCGGGTTACTAATGAAAGCAACTTCTCATTTCTACTCCACTCCCCAACCCCAGCCCATGGAAACCACCATTCTACTTTCTGTTTTTATGAATTTTACTACTCTAAATATCCTACATAAGTAGAATCATCCAATATCTGACAGTTAGTATAATGTCCTCAAGGTTGTTTCCTTATTATAGTACGTATTACAACTTTATTTTTAAAGCTGACAATATTCCATCATGTGTATAGTAGTCCTCCCTTATCCACAGGGGATATATTCTGAGAGCCCCAGTGGCTGCCTGAGACCACAGGTCATACTGAACTCTTTATATGCTATGTTTTTTCCTGTACACATGTAGCTATAATAAAGTATAATTTATAATTATGCACAGTAGGAAATTAACAAAAATAACTAAAAATAACTAAATTGTAACAGTACACATTATTAAAAGTTGTGTGAATGTCTCTTCCAAAATATCTTGTTGTGCTCTCACATTTTCACTTAATGGAAGCACTTTATGACTTTGCTTGGCATATTCAATTTCCAGAATCACTACTTAGCACTGAGCCATTATTAAGTAAAATAAGGGTTGCTGAACACAAGCCCTGAAATTCTATGACAGTTTATATGATAACCAAGATGGCTACTATGTGCAGATAGTATATACAGTGTGGATGTACCAGACAAAAGGGTGATCTATATCCCGGGCAGGATCAAGTTAGTACGTCATGAGATTTCATCATGCCACTCAGAATAGTGTGCAATTTAAAACATAATGTATTTTTATTTCTAGAAGTTTCCATTTAATATTTTCAGACTTCAGTTTCTGAAACTGTGGAATGTAAAACTGCAGATAAGAGGAGGACTGCTTTCTATCATTTTATTTACCCATCATCCATTGGCTATTTTGAATAATGCTGCTATGAACATGAGTCTACAGATACTTCTTTTTTTTTATTCATTTATTTACACGTGCATACATTGTTTGGGTCATTTCTCCGCCCCCCCCCCCCGCGCCCCTCCTCCCACCTTTTCCCCTCTTACCCCCTCAGTTCCAGGCAGGTCCTGTTCTGCCTTTATCACTAGTTTTGTTGAAGAAAAGAGACAAGCATAATAAGGAAGACAAAGTGTTTTTGCTAGTTGAGTTAAGGATAGCTATCCAGAAATATTCCTAGCATTGCTTTCGTGTACACGTTATGACCCATGTTGATTCATCTCTAACTGATCTTTACTCTGGTTTCTGATCCCCTTCTCATGATAACCTCTGTTGCTTTAAGATTTTACAGATATTTCTTTGAGGCCTTGTTTCCAGTTCTTTTATATATATACCCATGTAGTGGAATTGTAGAATCATATGTAATTCTGGTATTTTAAGATTTTTTTAGGAGAAAGCACAGATTTATTAGGATTTAAAAGGGGATAGAATTGCTGGTGGCTATGTGAAGGAGCATAGTGTGCCAAGGCAAAGTTTAGAGTAAGTTTTATGCCTCAGGTTAGGTTACTTTTGATTAGTGGTCTCTTTTTTTTGTGGATCTTACTGATTGGTTGTGTCTTCCTGGTTTGAATTCCTTTCATGGTTTGAATTTCTCCCACGTGGGACATCTCTGAGAGATTGGCTTTCACTTCTGCATTCCACCTGGACCCCCTCATCAGAGTCAGTCTACCCCCAAGTTCCATATATTCCATGGTATTTCTTTGTCTGTCATGTTTCCTTAAATGGAGGCCTCCAAATTCCCCCCTGACAGAAAAACAAAGCCAATTTTGTTTTAGTGGGGTACATTTTCCATCTTCATGTAACTGCTTCGAGCTAGGTAGGGTTGTAGAGATATCCCTGCCTATGTGTTTAATGTTCTGGCAGAGGATTATTAAGCAGTCAATGGGGACATGGCAGGGTCCAATTGAATACTGGAATAAAATTGTAAGGTAGTCTGGACCAGAGGGCTAAGAAGCATTAGAGGGTCAGGCAGTAGGGGATGGAACCCATGGTGTATCATTTGCATCTTTATGGCCTGAAAACGAAAAGAAAAGAATATGGTTAGAACATTAATGAAGCAAGGACCAATGACAAAAAGGAGTAAAATAGATACCAGAGGTCCTAAGAAGGGGAGAGCTCCAGGATAACCATGACCAGTTACTTCTCCATGGGAGCCATCCTCAGGTGACTCATTCTCTAAGTTTAGAGGCTTGGTGAATTAATACATGAATGTTAGTTTGAACGTGTCCTTATCGATTAACCCCAAAGCAGTAGTCTTCCCCTACTACTAAAGTATAGCACAGGTTTCCTTTTAGGCAGCAGTGAGTCTATCTAAAGATATATAGAAATACTACTAGTATATAAAGAGATATACTACTGAGTATATCTTTAGATACCCTAGTATACTAGGGTATCTAAAGCATTGATTATCTCAAGTGACAGATTTTTGTAAACCAAGGAAGAGGAGGTAATTCCTCCAATTTCGGCCCCTACTCCTGATATAACGCCTAATCCTGTAAGAAGTTGAATAGCCCTCCTGTTTTTAAGAGGTTGTGGATGTCCATCCATAGAAAAGAACATCTGGATTTTTCTGGAAGTTGCAGAAATAGTAGGTGATGGAAAGACTAGTTTTTGTCCAGTTGAAAGGTTGACAGGCATGAACTTTGGAGTTACGTAACTATGCTTATGAACCATTTCTTCACAACCTTTTGACTTTAGTTGCTTTGAAAAGTTTGGCACGTGTGACTTCATTTGGAATCTGAGAATATACCCTCTTGTCTCAACAGTTCTCTCTGAACTATTTCTCTGAATGGTCCATCATTCTAGGAAAAACTTTGATCCAGTAGATCTTTTCTTGTTGCCAGAATAAGATGTCCTGGTTGGTCTGGTCTGATCCCACATTGAAAGCTAATGTGACAGTTCAGATGGAATCAGTGAACAGAGGATTAGAAGGAGTGGCTCCTAGGCATGGCTTACCTAGAGTTCATTAAGGTTTCTTTGTTGCAGTTCGGAACACCTGGACATAACCCTGCTAGCATTATTAACAGTTTTAATTTATAGGGCACCAGTTTAGTAAAGTGTTTCCTAAGCTTTGCATTTTAGAAGGCTTATGTACTTGGGGAACAGAAATACATTTAACATACACAGGAGTTAGCAACAATTAGTATCACAGCTATACAGATGTCATAAATACATATTAATTTAGCTTTTTTTCCTTTATAGCATAAAAATATTTAGTTTCTTGAGAATGTTACCAGGAACAGAACAATATTAGTTTAGAGAGAATTACATATTAGTTTTACATCCATGTATTAAATCTTGGCTTTAGAAAATCCTTAGATAACTCTTAAATTACAGCCAACTTAATCACATATGCACCTTTTATCCAAGTAACCACATTTTAAGATCCCTTTTTGCTATTTGGAGTTTTAAAGTGGTACTTGATTTTTAATCTGCACCTGAGAGTTAATTCTGAGTGGCTATGTTTTAGCTACATCTGATTGAGACAAGATAACCAATTTTTAAAGAGATAACAGCTT